AAAATATAACCTTAAGCAAAAGCAGATGTGTGTACGTATGTATACATTGGTTATGAGCAGGGAACGGATTTTATGGAAATTGCCTTTTTTTCTGCTAAAGAGATAGAGTATATTCGATTAAGAATGTCCACGATTTAGCTTTCCCTGATTCCATATATACACATTTGAAGTTGCCTTTTTTTGCCTTTTTTAAGATATTTGCCTTTTTTTTGCCTTTTTTAAGATATTTGCCTTTTTTTCCTTTTCTACCTTTAAAAAAGTGATTATAGCATTTACAATTTTTTTTTTTAAGAGATTAAAAAATATACACAAGCCCATGCGGCTTATAGAAGCGCAGGGACCTCTTGCCAAATTGGTGTTGGAAAAATTCAAAGCCGTTTTCTCAGCTAACGTAGGCTTGGAGACAATAAGGGGTGTGGATAAAATTGTAAAGGGCGAGGAAAACGCCCTTATTCCTGATAATATGAACGTTTCAAACGTTCCATATTTAAATTGGGCTCCACTTGTATCAACTTACGTCGAGCGCACATTTAGTACATTCAAGGCTTTTCTTCGCGAAAATCGAATGAAAATGCTGCCAGAAAACTTCAAAATGCATCTTGTGGTTCAATGTTACTACAACTATACAGATTAAAGTTTTATGAGTTAGAAACTCGAAAGGATAAAATAGTCAAAGATTCAAAGTACAAATTTTTCATATAATGAAACTAGTTCATAGTTTTTCTCTTTTTACTTGTAATATAAACATTTCTAAAATAAATGTATTTTTTGATTGTTCTTCGTATTTTCTGTCTTTTTTTAGTGCCTTATTTTGCTTTTTTTACAATACCTAGTGCCTTTTCCTGCCTTTTTCGCTATTTTATTTTGCCTTTTCCAGCCTATTTCGTTACTTTATTTTGCCTTTTTTATAGGTTTTTAGGTCCTAAAAATCCGTTCCCTGGTTATGAGACAAAATAGATAAGTAACGTAAGTTTCACTTCTCCAGTGTGGCCCAGGCGCACTTATTTTTTTTAAAATATTTTTTTGTTTTGTAAGGCCGGAATTGAAGAGAATGCTTTAATCCTTTATCTTTCCAAGAAAAAACATATGCAAAAACATTTTTCTATATTGTTTCTGACAGTCATTTCAGCCAATTTGTTCAATCAATTTGTTTGCCTCAACTTAAATTCCGGCATTATTAATATACATATATCCTCCTTGGATTCCTTAACGAAGGTGTTTATCAGTAGTTGACTTGCATTACTGAGAGGAACTTGGATTCCTTAACGAAGGTGGCTATCAGAAGTTGACTTGCATTACCGAGAGGAACTAATTATTCATAATTTTAATGACGAGCACACCTAAAAGTTAAACATTCTAAAAATAGAATTATTAGCAAAAACCAACAATACCAACAACCACATGCTCAAGTGAATTGCAGCGGAATAGCTGCGCTTGATTGTGTTGGCATAACAAAAATGAAAATAGTGGAAAAGAGCAAACGATAATTTACAAGGCGTACTTAGCACGGTGCATAGGCAACTGGCTGAGTCAGTGGGATCGTCGGTTCGAATCCTACTGAAAGAAGTCTGATGAGCAAATGTGGTGATTTCCGAAATAGCTATCACTTCTACCATTTTTTCAAATTATTGTTGCTTTTCCACAACAAAAAAATTTTCATTTAAAACGGCCTCGAGCTCAATATAAATTGTTGAACATAATTTTAATGTTTCAATTAACCACATAAAATCAGATCTTTGGGCAGCTGAAACGACCTATATTATGGGATTTTTGTGTTAACTAAAACTCACCACTGCAGGACTGTGATGTCGTTACCCGTAGAGAGGTTTCTCTCTCTCTCTCCATCAACAGCAATTTCATATGTTGATATGTACGCAACGGCGTTACGTCGGTGGGTAGCTGAACCATAAGAATAATTTGAATATGAACATAAATGATCTGTGGGCAAAAAATTATCTTTTTTCAAAGTCCTTTTAGAAGATGCCTTCAAAGACGCATACAGTTTTAACAGAAATGTTATTCGAAAGTATCGCAAACGTTCAAATATGGCTTAAACTTCGCTAATAAATTAAACGAGTGTTATTTTATCTCCAACATTTCTCGCTACATCCTTTAATTAAGTGCCCGTTATTGATCCATATATCCATTATGTTCTCTTCACATTTCTTAGCCTCTACATCTTCCAGATGAAGCCCTATCTATGGAAATTAAAAAAAAAAAAAATATTCACAAATATTTTGGAGACCGCTAGACTCACCTTTGCTTAGCTACCTTATTGCAATAAAGTATAAAAATAAAGATAAAAATGTGCTATAAATAAAAAAACTAAAAATAAAAAAATCCTTGTCACTGTGAATTGAACCCGAGACCAACAAAGTGGTAATCGAAAACGCAGCCATTCAGCCACAGTAGCTATTGACACAGCAGGGTAAAAAGGAATTCTTGAATTTATTTTCAAAATTTTTATTTTACTAAAATTGTAAATATTTCACAAAAAAAAATATAGTGATTTTCAAACTGTTGACGACACTACGATAGTCGACTCGATAGTAAGCAACAAAAATACATGAATCAGTGGTTTGACGACATTGTTTTGCCAATATCGTTTGAACGACTATCGTGTCAAAGTAACGTGATGCATGCCCTGGGCTTATTTTTTTGTGCTTTTTATGTGCTTTAAAAATATTGCCCAGTAAGCATTGAAAACCCGCTTGAATAGTTTTGGCCCAGTCATTTTAGTTTTTCGTAAATAAATGTTTGAAAAAAGTAAAAAACAGCATCAAAAATCTCAATACGATTCCATTGAAAATACTTTTAAATATTTTGTACAAATGTTTTAAGCTTAAAACATTTTTTCATTTGACCGGATTTTTTCAAAAAACATCTTTAAGAAACAATTTTTATTCATAAAAAACTCCATTTTTGGAGGTGTTTTCAAATCGGTCCAACTCGCCTAAATCTTAATATTTTTCCGAAATATTTTGGTGGACGTCTTAAAATATAATAGATTTCATAATCCCAATGGGAAAACAGTACCAATTTTTTTTTGTATGGGGAGTGATGCAGTCTAATGTACATACCTATGTAAATGCCACAAGAACCCAAATGTTCAACTTCAAACTGTATGTACAGTGAAAGTATGAAAGTTATCCCAAAAAAAAAAATAATTTTCGAATTTGTCGTCCTAAATTTTACTAAGAAGCGAATTTCCATTTAAATCCGTTCATAATTTTATTTTTGTCCACATTTTCACTGTGGGGCGTGGCGAAGCCTCGCGCAACCACAGCCACCTTGTATACGTATAAAACTATCAATACATATTATTTTTTGGAATGTACAGCATAAACATTTATTTATTTGCGTTTATTTTTAAGTGCAAAAGATTATTCTGTCAGCTCGAAAGCGATGCAATTTTTTTTTTTGTTTTCGTCGTAATGCTCTTTGCCGCTTTCTTCGCTGTCCGCTTCACTTGTGTTGCCACATTGAAAAATAAAGGTTTGTTTTGTTTAGAAGATAGTGAGCTGTGTACCACGAGCTATTTGTTAGAAAAAATGGAATGCAACAAAGTCTAAGCGGTAGAAATTATAGCTGCTATTTCGGAGATCACCACATCTCACCAGACTTCAGTAAAAATCGAATCAGCAGCGTTAACCACTGAACTATGCACACCCTGTAAACCAGGGTTCGTATTTGCACACACATGCTCTGCTCACACACACGCCAGAAACACATTCAACTTGTACTCACTGCTCATAGACATGTGTGTGCATAAGTGGAAAACAAACTCTGCTCACAGAAAAGTGTGTGCTGTTTGTTATTAAGCACATGCACATGTGTGTGAGCCGATTTTTGTACAAATTTCAGCCCATGCACATGCACATAATATATTTTTAAAAAAATTGGTTATTAAACGTTATTTTTTGAAAGACAATTCAATAAAAAGTGAGATGTTTGTTTTTTATATGACAGAAAACATATTAAAAAATTATTTTAAGATTTGGGATAGAAATCGAAGTGTATAAGTTTCTCTACGCAAAGCACACACATGTGCGTGTGCTTTATATTAATAAAAATAAAGTACACACATGTGCCCGTGCTTTTTACCAAACAGCACACACATGTGATGTGAGCAAGTTTTTAATTTTTTATATGCACAGCACACGTGTGTGAGCGTAAAATGTTAGGATGTGCTGTGCATGTGTGTGCAAATACGAACCCTGCTGTAAACTCTTGTTGCTAATCCATTTTCTTATTCAAGCGGCGTATTAGCTGCACTTGATAGTAGTTGGTTGAATAAGGAAATGGATTAGCAGCAAGAGTTTACGAGGTGTGCATAGCTCAGTGGTTAGCTCTACTGACTTTGCACATCGATGATGCGGGTTCGATTTCTGCTGAAGTCTATAAAAAAAACTCTGTTAAGGAGAAGTGCTATCCCAAAATTAGCAGCTATATCTTCTACCGCTTAGACTATGTCGCTTTTTCCATTTTTTCCTAACAAATAAATCGTGGTACAAAACTCAAAAACCTTGCTAAGAAGTAAGTATTATTATGCCACAATAATAATACATATCACCTTTATTCAGTTTGCTGCCGGTCAGATTCTCAATTTTTAATTTTACAAAAAAATTGGAATTCACATTCAGGATTTGACGTTTAGTGCCGGCACTAAATTTGGTATACGTTTCCGTGAATTTGAGACTTTCCTCTCTTTTGGTAGGTTATGCGTTTTTGAGGAATCTATTTAAATTGCCCATATGTGAATTTTCAACTCTCGCACTATAAATAAGTTCAGTACATAGAAAATTTGATGAAATTTTTGTTGGAAAGATGCAAAGGTCCATTTTCTTACCCGCAGATCGAAATATCCATCATTCACATTTGAAAATTACCATCTTCTTTGTTAAACCAATTACAAGTGAAACGAGTATTTATATTTTCTACGTAGTGTTAAAATATATTACAAGAAAATTTATACTTAACTATTAATATTATGTTTTTAGAGCCGAAAATCAAACAAAGAATTCTACAGAAAAACCGAAACGCACGCGTAAACGCCTCGTAGCAGTAGTAGATGATCCCTACGAAGTGGAATTAGTCCCAAGAAAATTTCGCAAATTAAGTGAAGAAAAGCGATTTCTGGGAAGTCATCCGCCAGTTAACCCTAGGGTTACGTCTTCACGTTCCTACAGAATAGACTCTGAACAATATATACACCCCGCGGCATGGCAGCATTCTAGTATTGTTGACCTAGAAAATGAAGAAGACATTGATTGTAAACGGAATTATAAGCTCTTCACGTATCATGTGGAGCATCGGTATAATACTTTGGTGGCAGACATCAATTTTAGACTACATTTTAAAGTGAAGGACTATATTGATGAGGAAGAAGAGCGTCTTGCAGAAGTAGAAGAACGCGATAACCTTTCGATCAGCGATCTAAGAGACTGGCCTCCTCTTTCGGAGGAATATGTGGAAAAATATTTGAATCTAGAAAATAGAGTTTTAGCTATAGGAGAAGCTTTAAAACAGTGTAAAAGGCCTAGGCTTGAAAAAGAACCTGATGTTATCAATAATAAAGTTACCACTCTTGAAAAAGTACAACATTCGGAACATAATATAGAATGTGATCACAGTTTGACTCGAAGCAAAGAAGAATCTGCCGCAGATTCCATGCAACATGAATCAGGTCTTAGTAATAGTATTGCCTTGAAAAACAGCTCGAGTGTGGATATTATTACAAATTTCAACGAATCTGCACTACTTGAAAATAGTGAAAAAGAAATTACTATAACCAGTGACGAATACATAAACGTAACAAATTTAACAGCGCAAAGTGCATGCTTGGGCCGTGATCTGAATTCGACGGAAAAGTCAATTTTGGAATGTATAAACGAATCCGAAAATTTAGAAAATGCATCAGCTTTCAGTTTTCAAATGAAATCTTTTGAATCTAATGCATTAGGGAATTCTGCTACATTAAATGAAATTAATAAAAGTGAAATTGCCATCAGTAACATAGCGGAGCAGTCAAGAAATGATACTGGTTTAGGTGATAGCATTAAGGAACAAACTCAAATGAATGACTGTAGTAATATAAACATCGAAAAGAAAGGTTTGTTGGTTGACAATCCTGATTTAACTGATAATTCATCTGTACTACTTAATAAAGATAAGTGCGACCAACAAATAATTGAGGTGACGGCTGAAATGAAAACCAATGATGGTTAGTTTTTTTTTAATCTTGCAATTATGATTAAATCAATATATTTAACATTCCTTAGACGAAAACGAAATCCACCTGAATAAAATTCGTGTTTACCTCCCACATCTAGACGATGAGGGCGTATATTTTTCGGATTTGGATGACCAGGAGCAACGGATGCTATCACCCAGAGTAGTTACAACTGACGTTTTCCCTTGCATACCCAACAAGGAAAATATAACTATTATTGTTGATGATGATATAAGGACCCTTTTAAATATAGTAGATGATGAACCACCTCCTACATATACGATGCCTGTGCAAATCCGACCATTTATACCTCCCGTGAAGCTGAATATTTTCAAATTTCACGAAAAAATACTTAGGCGACGTCTGCTGTTTAAGCTTGGATCAGAAATGGAACTTTTTCTTCAATCAGTAAGTACATGAATTATATTGCCACCAATATAATAATGAATGCTATTTTATAAAAATACCATAGCGTTCAATGAAACGAATACACTGTACTGATGCAAATGAACAACGACAGTATAGACCAATGAAGTTATTTAACGACTCTTTAGATGCCGCAAACGAGGCAAAAGAAATTAACAGATATGATAGCGAAACAGGTTTCCTTAATTTGTTATTTTTCATAATGATTTGTTTAATAATTTCTAATATTCTAGACTATATTCTTAGCGACGGTGAAGATACGGAAGACTTCCTGGGATTTACTGAGGAAGAGCAAGCAAATAAGATTTCACATCGTTTAAGCAGGGATTCTGGCGTTGATGCAGATGTGCCGCTTACGTCTAACTTAAGCAAAGATACCAAGTTCCAACCAGAATATGCGGAAAAATATAATGAAAATACTCAGAATCCCCGTGATCCTAAGGATAGTGAAATCGAAGAGAGAAATAATAGTGAAATGACAAAATCTACTAACACGATTGAATTAACGAATGAAGTTCATTCAGAAATGAGTAATTCGATTGAGAATTCATCATTATTTATAGAAGACGTGCACGAGATTGAAAACTCTAAAACAAAGGTACTTGTTTGTAGAAACATCGAAAAGAGAAAATACAACTTTTTTAATTTTATTTCAAGATACAAAAATGGCATGAGTATTTGCATCCTATTTTAGCGAAGGCTCGGGAGCGTCACCATTTCGATGTTTTTCAGTTGGGGACGGAAATTATGAACGAACTTCAAAAACCTATTATATCCAGAAGCCATACTCAGACTTCATCAATCACATTCCAAGAAGTAATGATTAATAAGGATGAAAGTTATGTGTCACGCTACTTTTTATCAACTTTGCTACTGGTGAGTATTATCTTTGAATAAATAAACCCCAAATAAGCGTCAAATAGGGATTATGAGTCTAAAGAACTGTATGCATACGTTATTAAACGCTAAGGTTATGTTGTTATTCCGCGGGGCCTGGGCTCGATCCCATTTTCCGACTAACATCAAAAACAATAGAAAAGAAAAAGTTGTTTCTAATAGAGGTCGCCCCTCGGCAGGCAATGACATATCTCAGAGTTTATTTCTTCCATGAAAAACAGCTCATAAAAATACCATCGCCGTTCGGAGTCGGCGTAAAACTCTAGGTCCCTCCACTTTTTGTGACAACCAGAGCTAGAAAATAACAGTTGACACTTGCAAAGTGTCCGAAAAAAACAGTCTTCACGTACACAATGGGAAGGTAGACAGACACATACCGCTGAATTCTGTTTTTGCGCAATCGACACTATGCTCAAGGAAATACCGTTGTTATCGTTTTTATTTGACGCCTTTTTTCCACAGATCACTTTGTCGCGAGCAAACTGCCGAAGTGTCTTTTGCGTATGTCTGTATCAGGGTTGTTGCGAATCTTCGCATTCGCAACCGCGGAGCTTCCGCATTAATTTTAACATTCGCATTCGCTCTCGCATTCGCAATAATCAATGGGGAGCTTTTGTGACTGCGAATGTTGTGCAAGTGCACTGATAAAACGTATATCTGGTAAACAAAATGAGAAATTGTGGCCAATATTTTTTGCCTGTGGGGATGCGACATTAANAGACACATACCGCTGAATTCTGTTTTTGCGCAATCGACACTATGCTCAAGAAAATACCGTTATTATCGTTTTTATTTGACGCCTTTTTTCCACAGATCACTTTGTCGCGAGCAAACTGCCGAAGTGTCTTTTGCGTATGTCTGTATCAGGGTTGTTGCGAATCTTCGCATTCGCAACCGCGGAGCTTCCGCATTAATTTTAACATTCGCATTCGCTCTCGCATTCGCAATAATCAATGGGGAGCTTTTGTGACTGCGAATGTTGTGCAAGTGCACTGATAAAACGTATATCTGGTAAACAAAATGAGAAATTGTGGCCAATATTTTTTGCCTGTGGGGATGCGACATTAAGTCGTGTTATCCGGGGGACTATTTGTGTAATAAAACTGGTCAAAAGTCAGACTTGTCATCTCTGATTAAAGTCTTTTTAAACATATTTAGGAAGTTCACAAGGAGTTGTATACTGTCGCATTGTTGTATGTCGTAAACTATAAACTGCTAAAACTATATTTAAGGCATTCGCCAGCTACCATAAAAGTCGTATTATGAAATTTCCCACCGTTAAGAAATAGTTGGTTGCTGTTTCAAGTCCTCTTAAACATTTATTTAGCCGATAAAAAGTTCACGACATACAAAAATACGGCACTTACGACACCTTGTGAACCATCTAGTTATTTCTCAAGCTCCTATATAACCGAGCTATCAATGGGCAGTCATACAAGCTAACACTTCTACCTGATCTTTGACATTCGTCAAAGGGAACATAGCCCTTTTAATAATATTTTTTCGGTTTTTTGTGGACCACTCTTAAAAACAAACTACTAGACATGAAAGAAGAAAGTGTGCGCTATAATTTTAAACCACATTTTCGTAATTGCTTTTGATGTTATATTCGTTTCAATCATTTCAAATATGGCTCTTTGGGAAATTTATTTGTAACAAAAATAAAAAAACAGTAATTTCGCTACTTGTCGGGCAATATTTTTTCAGAGGGTTTGGCGGTCGCGTGCTGTAGTGGTCAATGGTCAGCTCCGATGCAGTTCTCAAAAAGGAATTATTCTTGCACCGTAAAAAAGTGTATGACTGAAAGTCCTCCCAACTGCAGCGTCCTTCAAAAAGAATTTAAAATATTGTCAAGTTTCAATCGAGGAGAATTTATAATATTATCAAGTCTTACACGCAGATATTTGTCGCCTCGAGCGAGCAGTTATTTAATTGGGCAGGTTTGATTTACAACCCCTTAAGAAACAAGCTGTAACCTGCAAAGACAGCAGCATTATTTTTATTAAATATAATAATAATAATAATAGATTGGCGCTTACACATTATGTTAGTGTTTGGCCGAGCTTCTCCTCCGATTTGTGGCGAGCGCCTTGATGTTGTCACACAGAGCGGAGGGACCTATTGTTTTTCATGGCAGAAATACACTCGGAGGTTTGCCATTGCCTGCCGAGGTACGACCGCTGTTAAGAAAAAACCTTTTTTCTATATTTTTGCGATGTTGCTTTGACCAGGGTTTGAACCCAGGCGTTGCGGAGAGGAAGCGTGCACTGCTTACCACTACTCCACATTATTAAATATAATGTTCCGATTTTTAATTTCAAGCACTAAATACAATAAACATTGTCAAACACTACCTATCTAAATTATTATTTTTGAAACACTTGACATCCGCATCCGCGGATGTCTAAAATTCCACATTCGCAGCATCCCTAGTATGTATGCATGGTTGTGAGTGAGGCCCTTTTGTATGCGCCAACACATAACTGATGTCGTTTGCATCTGTTTGAATGTAGGGAGTATTAGAATGTCTGTTGTTGTGACAAAGTAAAATGCATATATATGTATGCACTAGGGACTTTTTCCGATCCCGGGATTTTCGGGATGACGAAGTCACAATGCCAGGATCCCGGGATTTAGATATTCATTACTTTTCAACAACTTGAATCGACAAAATTGCTTCTATATTGTTTGAGAAGCTCTCCTACCATGAAATAAATAATGAATAAATGGGTTTGAAACCATGGTACAATAATTACAGGTATTGTCTTCGCCGAGAGAGCGCATATTCCGATCTGCCTTATTTAAAAAATATCATTGTTGACTACACTAAAACGTTTACTGCTGGAAATATCCCTTTTTCCATACCCCATATACCATATACACTTGTGATCAGCTAATTAAAGCTGCAACATTTTGATCAATTTTGGCTATTTTTGTTTTGTTTATTTAATGTTTATTATTTTTCGATAAAATAATCTAGATTTCAAACTTTGTGCAAAAATTATGAAAAATCGGCAAAGTTTCAGCTAGAATTTCTAGATTTTTATGAGTATGCAGTTTAATAGCCCATTAAATTCTAGGGTAATAATGTGCAAGTCTTAAGTTGCTAAAAAATCGCGTTGATTTTTAATAATTTTTTGTCTGACTTCATGTCGCATTTTTCCATAATAATAACTAGATTGGCGCTTACACATATGTTAGTGTTTGGCCGAGCTTCTCCTCCGATTTGTGGCGTGCGCCTTGATGTTGTCACACAAAGCGGAGGGACCTACAGTTTTACGCCGACTCCGAACGGCGATTGTATTTTTATGAGAAGCTGTTTTTCATGGCAGAAATACACTCGGAGGTTTGCCATTGCCTGCCGAGGGACGACCGCTGTTAAGAAAAAACCTTTTTTCTATATTTTTTGCGATGTTGCTTTGACCAGGGCTTGAACCCAGGTGCTGGTGAGTGAAAGCGCGCTCTGCTTACCACTACACCACAGCGGGCTTCATGTCGCATTTTTCCATACAAAAAAAAATTTTCGAATTTATTTTGTATGGAAAAAATTTGTAATGCAGTAAAAAAAAAAATTATTAAAAATCAGTGCGATTTTTTAGCAACTTAAGACTTTATTACCCTAGAATTTAATGGGTTATTAAACTGCATACTCAAAAAAATTCTAAAAAATCTGAATAAAAAGTTGAAAATTTAGCTGAAACTTTGCAGATTTTTCAAAATTTTTTCACAAAGTTTGAAATCTGGATTTATATAGTGTTTGTTATATAATGAGCTAGACTTTTATTGAAAAATAATAAACATTAAATAAACGAAAGCAAAATAGCCAAAATTGATCAAAATGGTGCTGGCTTAATTAGCTGATCACAAGTGTATGTTCACGTACTTTTTTCAACAAACCATCTTATAGAGAACTTATTCAAATTGCAAAAGCTGAAAAAAAAACCATCGTATATACTTACAAGTATGGAATCCTATGCCCCTTTTTGTCTATTCTCTTTCTAACAGCGGACGTGCCTGCCAAACTGAAAAGCATGATGGCGGCAGTGTTTGACAGGCACGTTCGACGATGCGAACGGCAATGGAAGGTAAGAAATGGAAGATGGATGACATGAGAATGAAA